AGCTAACTCGAAGAATAAGGATTCAGCCTCTAGGTGAGCACCGGAGAGAAAGTCAGTTATTTTGCCGCTTCTTCTTTCACGAACGATTATATCTCAGGTGTGTACCTGAAAGTAGAATAAAAGTAATTATTGTTGATTTCACCGCGCCTACCACTCGGCTACCTATTACATTGGTGGCAGCGGTGTGTTTTTGTAAAATAAAACAACGTGATTCGACCCCAGACCCCCATGGCTCAACCCGCTGCAGCTCCGTGCGACGAATCAAGATGAGAATCGTGTTTCATGCTTTCCTGGGCCTGGCCATGCTTATTAGCCTGCAGCACAGTCAGGGTGCTGACGTGGATCACCATTCTTTCCGCACGGCATCCATTGGAGTCTCCGATGGCGATTCCAAGCAACCCGCTACCTACATGTATACTACCGGTGGTGATGGCGAAGCTGATGTGGACGACGACATGCAGGCTGCTGACCAAGACAAGGAGGGTATCCCCCAAGACCAGCAGCGTTGGATTTTCGCCGGCACGCAGTCGGAAGCAGGAGCCCACTCTTCACTTGGTACTTCGCCTCCGTGGTGGGATGCAGATTTTCGTCAACACTCTTCCTGGCTAGACCATCACTCTTTACGTCGCGCAAAGCGATGTTCTCGACAATGTGAAGACCATGATTCAAGACGATGAGGGAGGTCATTTGTCTGACCCCGAGCTAGCCGCTCTGAGTGACCGGCTCAACCAAGATGAAGATAAAACCTGGCTTGCCCTCCGCCATAGCTCCAGCCGCCGCCGTGGTTACTAACGCTGATTCCAGGTATGGCATTTTCTTTCCTGTCTTCCTTCAGTCTCCCTGTTCTCTTCAGTCTTCCTTTATGCGAGTGTGTGAATCCAGTTTAGTTTGGTAGGCGTCTGATCATGGTGAGCCACGGCTTACCCAGCTAACGTGGGACAATGTGTGTGACAACGCCCCTTATAGTTATAGTGTATTCAGTTCGGTTTTTGAACTGCGATGTTCCTGGCGGGTTGTGCCAGCGTAGTGCAGCAAGAGTGCTGTGGTTTCAGGTCCTATTTGGAGGACAGTTCTTTCCCTTTTGACCCCGTGAGATCGTGTGAACCTGGTGTGCTTTTACTTCTATTTTATGATTTGTTATCAGTTCATTTCTTCTGTCTACTCTAAACGTTATCATTTCCGATATAATTTGCCATCTTCCGGTTGACGCTGTTGTTCGTAACTCCTCACTAATTTTTTGAAAATCACGAGGGCGTGATTATCTGTAGGAAGGAAGGGTGTAGTATCCCTGCCCGACCAATACGGAAGCAGTACGGAACTAATACGGAGCTTGCCTGATGTATATTTAGTGTATCTCCGTATGTAAGCGTACGTCGTCTGCTGCATAAAGGCGGCTGCGCATTTCTGTTTTGAGAAAGAGAAGATTAGATTAGATTGGATAGCAATGAAAGCTAACTCGAAGAATAAGGATTCAGCCTCTAGGTGAGCACCGGAGAGAAAGTCAGTTATTTTGCCGCTTCTTCTTTCACGAACGATTATATCTCAGGTGTGTACCTGAAAGTAGAATAAAAGTAATTATTGTTGATTTCACCGCGCCTACCACTCGGCTACCTATTACAATAGCTCCAGCCGTGACACAAACAAACAAACAAACAAACAAACAAACACCAAATTAAAGCTGTGTGGACCCTGGCTAGCGCCAGACGTTACTGAAGTAACGTCTTCTGCATAGCTACGGGAATTAAAAAACCACCTTTGGGAAAGGGCTAACACACACACACACACACACACACACACACACACCCCTCAGACCTCAGACATGCCCATCGTGGAAGCGATGATAGCGAACAGCTATGTTAGACATACTTGTAGCAACTTGTGCTGGGATTACACCATTCAACAGCTTACAAGGCTGATGAATTGACCCCCCCCCCCCACACACACACATAATGACAAAAAAGGAAAAATGCAAAGAAATGCATACAAATGCATAATATGTACATGTATACATTAGGGTTTATCGGGTGTTAGCGGCCGTCGTGAGTTCCCTTTGGGAACGGACACGATAATTTACTTTTATTTTATTTTTACTTATTCATTGTATACATGTACATACATTATATTATGCATTTTTGCTAAACTCGTAAGATGTACTTGAAACCTGACAGATTTCTAGGAATGACTCCCTCTGTATCCACTGAAAATCATCTAAAGTTTATTGCAGTCTGTGTTCGAGCTTATAATTATAGTGAAACCTGTCTAAGACGACCGCTCAAGGGACCATCAAAACGTGGTCTCTGTTACCAGGTGGTCTGCTTACCCAGGGTAATTTGACTGGAAGTAGCATCCCTTGGTGCGGATTGCAGTGGTCTTCTGGGACAGGTGATCGCCTTATCCGAGTGGTCGCCATGACAGGTTTTACTGTACATGTGTTGTGTACACAGAGCCAGGCTGGACACAGAGCCAGGCTGGATTACAGAGCCAGGCTGGATTACAGAGCCAGGCTGGACACAGAGCCAGGCTGGATTACAGAGCCAGGCTGGATTACAGAGCCAGGCTGGACACAGAGCCAGGCTGGACACAGAGCCAGGCTGGACACAGAGCCAGGCTGGACACAGAGCCAGGCTGGATTACAGAGCCAGGCTGGATTACGGTACACCAGTGCCGCAGATCTTGCAGTGGCATGCAGTCCGCGTTGCTGACGAGCGCTCACTAAATACATTGCCAGAGTCACAATGAGATCCGACTACTAGCAGGCTCCAAACAACCCCAGCAAGACCCTAGCAAGGGGTTGCCAGAGCAATTTGCAGCACACAGTCTAGCAACATAATGTCATTGTCTATCTTGCCTCCCCCATGGGCTATACGAGTAGCTGTTCAGATGCGTAGCAGACTAAACGGTGTAATGCATTGTGGGTATTGGAGCCATGCATCTTTTACGGGCTGAGCTGGTATTGTGGTATATGACATGAGAAGAGTGTTCTGGGGGACAGACATATCGCTGAGTGGCGGGGGAAGGGTACATGGCGAGACAATCGCCTAATTATTATTTGCAGTTCATTAGAAGCTCTACGGGCACCAGCTGCTTGGAAGCCTGTAGTTCTTCGTCAACTTCACCGTTACACACCAGCTTCCCAAGATGCCCTGAAGGATGATGGCATGTGCTTAACTACAGGGATCGTGTTGCAATATGCCATTGCTGTTGTGCTGCCAGCACAATGCGATTAGGATGATCTGTAGCTCATTTGCTAAACAATCTCGTGCGCCGTTGTAGTCAGTTCTATCTTCCCCGCTCGTCGTCTAGTCCATACTACAAGTACAAATAGTGTAGTGCAATGCAATGAAATCCGTTCATGCTCATGCTGTTAGTCGGTATGAGTGCTGTTGATTCCGTCCCGGGGTGCGTCTTCGAGACGAATTGCATCAGTTCTACCCTCCCCCCTCCGCTCCACCATAATAATATAAATATACCCGCACGGTCCCTTTCATTATAAACTTCCGCGTGAGGTCTGGCAGGTAGCGGTGAGGAATGTGTGGCGCCTTCCTGGCGTTGGCAAGAGAGCGGCAAAAGCTAAGCTTACCCATCGCAAGTGTGCATATGATACACAGGAATACCGACGAGCGGAGAAGAAAAGGACAAAGCCAGTCCCGCAATCACTACTTTCTTGACGAATGCATCCTGGAAACTGCAATACCTGACTTTTCCGCGCCACACTTGCTTGCCATGAGAAAGGGTTTTCAAATTTTCATTGCACTTTCCAGAACTTTGTGCCGTTATTCCTTGAGATCATGCACGATCCAAACTACTGTTGAGTCGGAGGCTTTGCATAAGCATTGACCAGGATGCCATCTCTATCCTCTATTATCAGATTAGTTGGAAATAGCTGCATGGCTTGATTTGTACCATGCCGCTTTCAATGTCCACCCGTTACGTTGGTTTTTGCATCTGTGGTTTGGTGACCTTCTTGTGGTGTTCGTGCATGTTGTGTATCTAGAGGTGTGTGTATCCTGGCTTAGATGGTCGTCATAATCTCACTTGCACCTACAACGAGTACAAACTGATCCGAACGGCACAGCGCTTGTTTCCTGGCTAGAGATACGCAGGACACACCAGGAACGCTGATGCCCCGAGGACGTGTCAAGATCTGCCGGGCTAGCTCGGCTCAGGCGGGCATAGCATAGCACTCTACACTCTCCACCATGAACGTGCATAGTGATGACTGCAATGACATTGAAGAAGACCACGGCTGATGCTGGTGCTGGTGGCTGGCTAGGAAGAGAATCAGAATGCCAAGACGATGACATGACAGTTGCATTGTCGGCACTAGGCCGGTTAGGGGCGCACGGCTAGCTGTCACCGTCCCTGCGCTCATCACATTACTAATTACTGTGCTAGTGATGGTGTCCCCCCCCCCCCCTTCTCTCTTCTTCCCTCTCGAGCCATCTACCTGCGTACCATTCCATAACACACTCTGCGGTTGAAACGCATTTTCTATTGAAAGCGTGTCTGCTCCGTCTCCACGCACTCGGTGCCTCGGCTACCTCTTGTAGGTCTCCAAGTATACCAGGGTCGGACAACACTCAGTCAACAGGCACAATCAAACGCGATTTAATAGCGTAGTATCTCAGCTGCTCTGTGGTCCAACAGACAACACAGGGGTAGAATGCAGACTGTAGTGACGGTGTGGCGAGCCGGAGAGGGAGAACGCACGACACACACACACACACACACACACACACACACACACACACACACACACACACACACACACACACACACACACACACACACGCGCGCACACACATCATCGCGCTGAAGTCCCTCGGAACGGCGTTTCCGACAGAATGTTGAAGGGTGGGGGTCGGCATACTGACTTGCACTGCGACAGTTGCTCACTGCGCTAACTACTTTAAGAATTACGTAGTCATTATCCGTACTAGGTCGTGCAGGCATTTTCTGCTAGACGGTTCACACAGGACAGCTTCAACCTGCTGGAGACGAGGCTTAGCTGTCCATATAATGTCAGAAGGTCTAGTGACGGCGCTGAAGGGACATGGTAGCTGCCAGCAGAGCAAGAACAGAATATCGTAGCTCCCACTGCCCCGCCAGCATCAGAAGCAGCATCATTGACGTTGTGTGTGTGTGATTTCCATCACCCGATGTAGTGGTTGTAGCAGTGTTTTGCCTGCTTTGTCACTGACCAATGCTCTCCCCGTGAGAACGGCCGGGCAGTATCCATTCGCTGACAGGAGAACGACAGAGGGACATCTCTGGCAGACGACAGCAGGAGAGAAAAGGCGCCCAGCTTTATTCCTACAGAGTGGGCAGTCCTCGCAGGTCCTGACGCTACTGGTGCTTCGGACTAGACTGATGGGTAATCAAAGACCAACTTTGGATACTTCATATTCTAGCAGAGTAGTCATCTGAAGAGGACAAGGTAAGCCAACATTAATTGGCGCTGAGATTATCATGGAGTCAGAAATAGCAGCTTTCTCTATTGGGATGAATGTGTCGTTCACAGTTCACAATTGTCATGCTATTAGATGTGACGTTGAACACTTTCTTGATTGCATATACTGAGAGGTAAAGAAGAGAGTTACTGCTGGTCTTGGCTGACAAATTATGACGTGTTGTCGACAGTGGGCGCGTTCACAGTTGCAATTTACCGTCATGCAGCACGTATGTTGCTTGCTTACTTCCACTGCCCCGCTTATTGCCTGCCTGCCACAACACAGCATTGTGACAGATGATGGGCATTATATAGACTAAGACAACGAAGCATCCCGGGTAATCGTCTGTGTTAAACTCTATGCCAGAATGGCCTCGCTGTACAAAATGTGCTAAGAACAGCTAGAGATCCGAAAGACAAGTTCAGTTGCTGCATCGTTTTACACGTATATGAACGTTTAAATCCAAGCTTGGTGTCGAATTAGAGGCTTTTCTGGACAATTTCGGAGATAACAGTGACGCACAATGAGTAGTTGAAGGAACTGGAGAGGAGATACACCAATACCACATGAACCTAGTATGGTAAAGGCAATAATATCGGTTTACAACTTGGCTATCTCGAGGTATACCTCAGCTGTGCACTATGCCTGATGAGTGCTGACCTAAGCGTAGAATGCGTGTGTGTGAGGGAAACCTCCTGTTCAGCGTTGATTAGTGCATTCCGTCATATACATCCACACTAAAAGACATCAGTATACGCGAAAGGAACTTGTGACGAGGAGCGATGATGCCATAACCACAAGGTCCAGCCGTGGTTACTGGCACGCCATTGGTATGTTCGACAGCACACAACAGTCCTCAGATCAGCACCGTCTCGTAGAAACCGCTCGCACAATGGCCGGTTCGTAGGCAAAAAAAGCTCTGCTGTCTCCAAACTACCTAGGAGACCGTACTTGTAACCCCATTCGAATTCCACTGGAAAGCATTCCAGAAGTCGTCATCGTTCTAACGAATGATACATAACAAACCGCGCGGAGGTTTGCTGGATTGGAAAGGCCCCGTGCGCTGTGTTGCATAAAGCTACGAATAATCAAGAATACTGCTACATCATTATAATCTCGGAGTGTGAGACGAAACGGTGATCAGTATTGGTCTGTAGGTCAGTGGAGTTTGCAGCCAATCCTTCGTTAGGACTGGCACAAGTCCTAAAAAAGCAAGAAGTGCGGGAAAGAATACTCACATAATAATTATAACAATTTGTAACATTTTGTCAATAATAGCACGCATGAGCTGCTTCAACACGAACAAGTGCCAGGGAAATCCCAATATACTATAAAGAGCTCGTAATTCGAACATGCAAGAGTCTGTGAACAAGGGTGAAACGAGCCTGTAGCAGAGTTTGATCCAGTCTTTTCCTGCAACTCTTTATTGGAGGAGAAGTGTGAGCTCAGGCATATTCATTCCTTGGCGAACGTTTCGTGACTCGCTCAATGCATTTCTACCATGCCTGTTGCTATGAGTTCAGATAAACATGACCCCACTCCCTCCCATCCTCCTACGACGGCTCTTCAGAGAGTTCATTCCAGAAGATGTGACCTTGCGGCGTTGCTACGGCGTACTGTATTATACAAGTGAACTGCTGACAATAATATAATTACCAGTGCACAAGTAATAGGGTCCAGCAATGTGTCGTGGATCTTGTCTGTGACTCTTTGTCAAACAACTCGCGCCTCAGCTCGATAAACACTCAGGCAATCTTCACCACGTCCCAGTTACTTGAAAGGTACATGCAGCCATTACCCTTCACCTCCCTGCAGTGTTAGACATTGTCAACGTGGCGAGGGTTTCCTGCAGACCTCGTCATGAAGCAGGACAGCTAGGAATTCGTTGGCTCGGTCACCTACCGTCTACACATCCACATTTCCAGGAGATCCCTTGAACGATCAGATTATTAGGTTCCATTGGGAGAGTTCCGCTACGATTACCTAACACTGCCTCGGAGGACATTGGTCGCCGTGTGTGCACAGGAATGCGGAAGATCAGCGATTGGAGATAGCCCAGCCATGGCCTCGGCGTCTGGTGAAAAGGTGGCTTTAAGTGGGCAACACATGTACTGCATTGATATGAAAACCACCAACGTGACCACCAGGACGGGTTACTGCTTCCAACACAGACGCCAGTATCGCCACCAACCATACGGCACTGACACTACATGTATAATTATAATGGTATTATAATGCCTATCAGCTGAGGATCGCCGACATGGTTCCTACAATGTGTGTTCCTACTTATACCGCAGACAAGTTGCAGGAATGGCGCGACTGGTATATGCATTAGTTATCCAAGTCATTGTGGTCCTCCTCCTGTCCGACTTGCACTGTGCTGTATCATTACCTGTCCTAGTCACTGCTGGGGGCCAAGGAACATTGATCCTCTCTCCTCAGCTGCCCTGAAAGGAACGCCCGTCGACGCATCAGAGAATACCGTTGTCTCCTTCCAGCCTCGGCTTTCCCGCTTCCTCCCGGGCTTTACGTAGAGGGTGCACTGCACTCTGGTGCAACTCTTTGTGGGTGTGCGTGCGTGCTAAGCAGAGAGAACATGCTCGCTGTGAATAGCTATACATGTATAGGCAAAAGATAAATTAACTTTACTCAGATTGTAGATAGCTTTGTCCATTCATCGCCTGATACTGTGATAGGCTTGACACACCACGGCCATAGGAATACAATCACACTGGGTGTGGGTGCGATAACGCTGCACAACACGGTTCTTACTCCACTGCAGCCCCTCGTACGTTACTTTAGTTAGGTCCAGTTAATCCTGCTGTCAAAGGTAATGGAGCGCACAGAGACACGACGTGATTGCGCCAATACAATATACGCGCATAACGCAGCTAAGATCCTCACTCCAGTCAACCACCAGAACAACACTAGTCAGTCATCATTGAGTGTTCCTTTGTCAGATGCCGCAGCCAGGGACTCTCAAACGGCCAGTACAGATGACCCACCAATTGACAGAGCTGCACTCTTTCTGCCATTCTCCTGTGAGGGGATCGGGAAACATTATTCCACTATAATACTGTAGTGTAGCTGTTACTCTCAGGTCACCCCACCCAGCACCATACCCCCCCCCCCCCCCCATCACCATACGACGGACATCAAAAGATTGTCCTCGGTCCGCCAAAGGAAAAGTAATGGACGGTTTGGGTTGCGTGTCCTTGGACAGTGATCATGAAGGGAACAGCCTGTGGGGAAAAAATCCTAAATGCATAACTTGTGGAGTATAGTGAAAGTCGGTGTTTGATGTCAGCACCTTTTGACAATGACAAGCTAAAAGGAAACTCAGCTAATGTGGCGTGACTCATGCCTTCTGAAGCTGAATGTAATGTACATAAAAATGGTGTTGACATGTGATGAATACACATCCGAAACATGACCTACAATGGTGATGCGCATATTGGCACAACTGACAAACACACTGTTCAACTACCTACTAATCCTGTGACAACTTGGTAGGAATAGTATGGGGTTCGGCTGTCCACAGCCAGTGATCGGGCGATCGGTCCGTTGAAGGCGCCCTGCCATCAGGCCGCTTTTGAACCGTCCTGCAGCAGCATACACCGTGTCCTGGTCAGGCCGGGTGATCAGCCCTTGACTCTACCTTCCGTGCATTCCGAGGTGAATGCACAACCACAGAAAAATTGAATATCCCAGCCAGCCGAAAGCGACCAGTATGTCCATGTGTCGACAGCGGATGTTCAAAACGTGATGTGAAGACGTCGGAACTTCGCAGTGACGCTGGTTGGCCTGCAGTCAACTTGGCATAGCCCTCTTGTCTGGGAATGAGTAGGTTTTAAATCTTGGTCTACTGCTGATAATTTATTACTGCTGTCGTTGTCGATCGAGTCGGTGGACCTTTTTCTCGGCTTCTTCTCGGCTTTCGCGCCCCGACAATGCAGCCTCCATTTGCACAGTTTTGTGCAGGTCGGTCGCCAAGCGAAGAGCTTCATCACGCTCAACATGGTACGTGATAGATAATCAGTTAGTGTGCAATGCCAGCCCGTCTGTCAGTCAATCCTCTCACTTTCACTCGATGAGGCTGTGATACAATCTGGCGTGGCTTAGATCTACGCTGATCAGTGAGCAGGAGTGTCGTACGCAGGGGTTGAGCCGAGGCCGGGGAGGTACAAGAGAAAATCAACGTTTGCCCTGACTTTGAATGATGGCAAAACACTGTTTTGTCTTGTGAACAGTGTCTCGAGGAGGAAATGATACGCCTACAGAGTCATTTACTTGTAGACCCCGACACAAACACGATCCTTTTACCGAAGTAAGAAGTAAATCAGTCGCCTTATATTATGTTGCTTAATTATACTGATTATCGTCATAGAAGTTCTGACGGTGATAATGATGGTGGTTGCGGAGTTGATGGTGGTTCTGCTGGTGGTGTAGGTGGTGCTGGTGTTGATGGTGGTGTGCTAGTGGTGTTGGTGGCGGAAACTGGGTCGTTGGTGGCATTGGAGAAGTTCTTGCGGAGGCAAGTTTTGTATGCCTAGAGCTACACCATAATGACAACCGATCTGAGGAGTTCTGACCCTCTAATTATGTAGCTACCTTGCACAATTCTGTCAGCGTACCGATTGTACTTGTGACGTGTGTCATGCTTGCAAGCATGCTAGCCATTAGCGAAGCAATTACCGCTACTAGCACATGGTCGTAACTAAACTAGGTCTTGTACATGTATGTCGGCGTAGACGTCCAGAGATGACGTCAGATACTTCCACTCTCTTTGCTTCGCTGCACGCGCACACAGTTTTGCTAGACGAAAACTTAGAAAGTATGCTGATGCCGATGTTTCAACCCCAAAAATAGTCCATTTTTGATTTGGGGTTAAGACTAGCTTAATTAATTTTTAAGAGATAAATGCAGTAGCAACTTTGATATCAAAAATCTGAAACTGGACCGACAGGAATACGCTGATTATTCGTGGTATGCTCGGGAATTTCGAAAGAGCGTCTAGGCGGCCGCTACAGTGCGCAAGGTTGTGAAACATTCCATTCACCACGATGATTGCTGATAATGTTTTTGAGGAAATAGCAAGCACAACGGAGGTCTAACACGTAGGGAAGGCGAATCTGACATGTGGTAACTGATATGTGCAGACTCTATGAAAGATAAAGTTTACTGGTAGATCACTCCAAGCATTAATCGATAGCGTTGCTTGTGCTGACTTGCAAATTTCAAAGGTCAATGCATTCTTATCTCATGTGCGCTTGCTTTTAGATATGTCAGGCCATCCAAGCATGCAGGCTATGACACATAGACCCACAGCAGCACCACAGTCTGACCACCATCACCACTGCCAGCCACAGCCACAGCAGACGTATCACGTGACTGGTCAAGCACCGCCTCCCCCCTCGCATCATGGCCACAGAGTTGACCCGGTTTCGTCAGGCGGCGACCTGGACTATGCCCCGCCGCGTAAGATGGCGCGTCCCTGTAAGTGATTCAGGATTCGCCTTCCCAGCCATTGTAATAACTTGTACTAAGACTATAGGATGTGAGACATTGGGCTGTGTTACATGCTTTAATTAACGCCTTTTTGAGCTGTTTGAAAATGCTGTTGTTCCCTGGACCTCATTGTGATCAGTTCCGACAGTTACTCGGAGCTCCAGTGAGGAGACTTTTAAAACAATATCGGAACAGCTAGCTGTCCGGAGATTCATGATTGAGTGTGTAAACTATATGACGTATGTGCATGCTATATGACGTATGTGCATGCTATATGACGTATGTGCATGCTATATGACGTATGTGCATGCTATATGACGTATGTGCATGTAAGTCAGATGTATGTGTGTTCAGACTGGCACATGAAATTCGTTTTCATAACTGTTGATGTCATTGCGGTTACCATCAAACAAGCTGTATACCCTAAAACTGGACATTCAACTTTCAAAGCTAAGTTACACATGTGAGATGTCACTCCGATCTCACTGCGCCATTCCCAGATTCAACGTGGCCGCTTTGACTTCGCGAAAGAGCCTCCAATATAGGCGCAGAGAGGAAACGAAGATAGCAACGGTACTGCCACGCTTCCTCTAGCCTGCTCTCTATAATTTAACTTACATGCCCTTGAAATTGAAACGTGAACTTTTATTAGAACTGCAGGGAACTTGGCACAGGGAGATTGCAATGCGATCCAGTATTTTATCTACATGTGCACGTACATGTACATGTAGGTCACCGGGCCCGCGGGGCAAAGGCGTTCAAGATCTCTTGTAGCATTGAGTGTGACGTAGTGAGGACGGGTTGCATCGCCCTAGATACTAACCAACCATTGCTAGATCGGCAAACTGCTATTATTGGAACCGCACCGGTCAAGCGAGACCTTTTTTTAGAACTACCCATGTAGTGTTCAAACTCTCTAAGTAGGCGTCGATCTCGATCGGTATTGTGGGATGACGACCACATCATAACTCCGTACTTTGAGTTGGAGTGTCGCTGACCCTTAGCGAACGTCCAGCGCTCGGATATGTGGTCATCAACCTAATGGCAGTTAATAATTCCAGCTGTTTCCCTAACGCCACCTCCCTCTAAAACGTGTCATTTCCTCCCCTTCCCATTATCCGTGCTTCACCACTACATGTATCGCCTGGTGCATTGAGCAGACTATTGGATCTGCTCTGACTGCATCTATTCGCGTGTGACGACCACAGCTGAAGACCACGGCAATCAGCTGTTGTACATGTAGACATGTACATGTACCTGTAGTTGCTAGTACTTTGTACATTGCACTAGTCACTGTCCGGCATGCATGATGCACGTAACGTCGTTAGCTGATGATTCTCACAATACCTTACTTGTACATGGTCTAGACACATCCATAATTATACAACATCCGTGCGCGGTGTGCCCAGCATGCAGTTCGGGACTCCATTATCAAAGCGGTCGCACGTCCAGGCCACATTCCACTGGCTGACGTGAAGCAGATTGGACAAGTGGCAGTGGGCTGACATTGACAGACAGGCTTGCATTTTTGCAATAGTGATCTTACATTATCCGTTTTGAAACCCCTGGTCTTACTCATGGCGTGGATGACCAGGAACTGGCACATACACAAATGCATGTATCATAAGATTTGACCAATAGAACTGCAGGACGTGCAGTGCTCATATTCAAGCAAAACGTGAAAAGTATTTAACCATTTGCATTCCTTCCTGGCGGGGTTGGTGGCGATTGTGGTACATGTACATGTATAGACCTGGGATGTTGCGAGGACCAATAATAACACATGGTAACAGTCTTGCATATTAAGCATGGTTTTGCCATTCTACGCCCCTGCTCCTCACAAGGTCGGCCCGCATCTCCACTTCTGGGTGAGGACACTATGTCGGCAGCCGTCGGCAGCAGCACAGCGAGCAGGCAAATGCATAGACAGCCCAAAAGATCAGACATCTTGTCAAGTGGTTCTGGCGACTCACAGTCTGCTTCTGGCGCCGGCGCGGGCGCAGGCGCGGGCGGAGGAGGCACAGGAGGAGGAGGTGGTGGTGGCTCTACTGGGGATAGCAACAAGAAGCCGGTGAAAAGACCAATGTTCTCCAAAGAGGTGACAGCTACGCTTAGAGAATGGCTAATGGCAAATCTGCAGGTAAGCTAGCAGACACCACCAACATGTGCACACTAGTACTGGAAGCACTATACATGCACATGTAGATCAAATACCAGTAATACAGATCATTATACCATATTGAAAGTAAAGGATATGCATATTGACTATCGGTTTAACGACATTCATCTTATCCATGGTGATGACCTTGTGTTCGTCCATTATCGACAGCTGAGAGGTATCTTCCCCTAACACCCACTGACGGCTCTCATCCCATTACACCATACATGTGTACATGTACCATAAACCGCTGAGAGCTCTCTTCCCCTAGCACATGCTAAAGGCTCTCTTCCCTAGCATGCAGTGAGGGCTCTCGTCTCCTACAAATGCTTAGGAATTCTTTATGCTGAGGGTCCTCTTCCCCTGACATACATACAGCCTACGGTATACAGTCATCTACATGTACATGCACTAGTCATATACTTCAAGTAGCATGTTTCTGTCATAGAGAATAAACACGGAAGGCATGGTGTTGACAACATGCATTATTATAAAATAATGCGTAATAACAGGTTGCTTGAGCCTGTGCGGTGGAATCCGACTTACAAAAAATATGACATGCACGTGACTGTTCATTCTGAGAGACCGGATGAACATGATTTCATTTCTTACCTGCTACATGAATTTACGACATTTACGACCAACGCATATGGCCGATTGGTTTGCAGGCCTGCCTGCGAATCATGAGGTCCCGAGTTCAAGACCCGCGCTGGTAGCAGGGAGCGTGTAAAAAGACTTTTTACGCGTGCTGAACTGCGCCGACACCCACGGTCAACTGGGTACTCACAGCTCGGAGTGAGAATAACAAGGATGCAGTTTACAGGGTTATGGGCCGTTACACGCCCGATTGGTTGAGAGACTAACCTCCTCTCCCCTGACTCACTTGTGAGGTCTGCATTCGCCACTAAGGTTAATAGGCATAGTGGTGGCCTGCGGATGCGAAGGCTAGTTTGTGAGTTCTGAACTTTCAAGCGATGCCGACGCGGATCCCGCGCATATTATTACATGAATTTCACATGTGGAGTAATTGCTTAGAGGAATCATTAATAATTTCCAATAAATACAGGTACTGTTTAACACAAAAAACCCCAGTGCCCTATCAGTTATTTGGTGGCTGGTGGTAAGGTGTTTGGGAGGGTTACTGTCAGTCTAAATGTGGGAACTTGCTTTCACTCTTGTCTATCTTGAACAGCATCCATTTCCGACGGAAGACCAGAAACGTGAATTGATGGCACGGACCGACCTCTCACTCCTTCAGATCAATAATTGGTATGTACAGACATGGATTGTCAGAAGTGTTCCCAGAAATAGAAATGGCAGATGAAAATAGCTGTATGTCGTAGCTAGTGCACAAGTAAAGATATGCATCATTCGTGGGTGCACATATTTCAAGCAATCTGATGAAAATAGCAGATAATACAATGATGCATTCTTGCCACAACACAATGACGTTAAACCTTAGCCAGGACAATGATGCAAAAGGGAATCAGCATTATATTGTTTGTGCGTGCAACAATGGGCTGGAAATGGAAATATGAATTGAACAAGACGAGCACCTGCTGCCTGTCCTTCTTTATCTCTCTACCTATCTGCATTGTATCTCCTCACTTTCTCTCTGTCTTCTTACTCTCTCTTCTCTCTCTATTCTCTGTCTGTCTGTCTCTCTGTCTTTCTCTCTCTCCCTTTCTCCTTCTCTTTCTCTCTCTCTCTCTCTCTCTCTCTCTCTCTCTCTCTCTCTCTCTCTCTCTCTCTCTCTCTCTCTCTCTCTCTCTCTCTCTCTCTCTCTCTCTCTCTCTCTCTCTCTCTCTCTCTCTCTCTCTCTCTCTCTCTCTCTCTCTCTCTCTCTCTCTCTCTCTCTCTCTCTCTCTCTCTCTCTCTGCATCTATCTCTTCTCCCCATGCTTTCTTACCACTCAACTATTAGGTTCATCAATGCAAGAAGAAGAACAGTTCAGCCTCTCATCGATGAGCAGAATCGCCGCTACATGCAGTCCAGGGAATTCTCGGCTCTGTCTCATTACCACCACCACCATCACCAGCCACCACCACCGCTGACAATACCACGCCTAGCTGGCCCAAGCGGAGTAGCTGGGGATTATGGTGTGGTGGCTGCCCCTCCAGGCGGTGAGTAAGCAGAGTCCATGGTGACTTCAGAATTGTGTTCTTACAGCAGCTGACAAATCATAATTGCACTTTTATGTAGCTTATTGTAGCCGGTGAGGGAAGGGGGGGGGGGGGGGGGGAGGGCTATGAGGAGCAGTCATTGTTGGCGTTAACATTGGTCACACTCTAGTTTGCATATGCATCGATTTACATGTACATGCATAATACAACAATCTCTCTTCTCCTCCATGCGCTCCCGTCGACACGTTGCTACCCTCGTTAGCCATTACACAGACCAATTATTCGAAATAACGAAGGGGTTACTGAAGTCCCTCGGTGACGACGACATCCCTTGGCCCGTAACCCCTTCGTTGTTTTGGAATAATTGGAGTGTGTAATGGCTACCGAGGGTAGCAATGTGTCCGCTGAGAGCGCATGCAGCAGAAGAGAGATTGTTGCATTATTGAACAGCCGAATGATATCGTTCACAATCGTACATGTACATGTATAAGGTCTGTGCTGGATGACAGCTACTCCATAGCTCAGTGCGGTTAGAGCATCGCTGGCCTCAAGCGAAGGTCCCTGATTGAAACCCTGCTGGCGACAGTCAATTTTTTATTCAGACTTTTCCCTTTTCTATTCCATCAACGTATGAATGCCGTAAATTTGGAACCTGAGATCTTTGCAAAACTGAATGGAATAGTCTTGGTCTCAAGAGGCAATGATCAACATAATATTGTCAGAAATTCTCAATTGAACAGGTGCCATTTTCCGGAATTCCAGATATTGACGTGTATGTGAGCAATAGTCCAAATCTGTTTTTGTGGAATATCTCAGAAGCGCAGTATCCCAGCTTTCCCAGACCACGAGAAGAGCAAAAGACTGTTGATTCAGCCCCAGAATACCACCGCTTTTGAATTTTGCCCCAAGCTCCTTTTCACCTTCATTGTGTGAAGGGTTTAGTCCATATCACAAGGCAGAAGGCGACAGTTTTCATACTAACCTGTTAGATCCGGACCGTAATTCAGCAAGCTGTCACTGAGATCATTCGTTGGGTGCATCATGTCCAATTGTCGAGTTTTTCAAGTGTTTTTCGCTGAGAGATTTTTGGACTTATGCTCATGGCTGCTATTTGGTGATAATTCAGTGACTGGTTACTTCCTGCGTTGCCATGGTGCCTGAGTGGAGATAAGTGTATTCCATGTTCCTGTAGATAATCGAAAAAAAAGCAGAAAAAGAGCAGAATAAAATGAAATACTCATAAGCTGAGGGATTGAAAAGGGAAATGTCAGGGAGAAAATTGACTGTCAACAGAAGGATTCGAATCTAGGACCTTCACTATAGGCCAGCGATGCTTTAGAAACTGAGCTAAGGTGTAACCGTCATTCCGGCAGAGACCATTCAACCCGTTTCTTGAGACATCAAAATTCACGCTGCCAAATAGAATACGACTTTTAAAAGTACAACTAGGTATACTAACGTTGAATGTGCGGAGACCATGTCAAAATGCTACGTGTGGAAATTTGGATGTATATGTAGCTCAGTCTGGGGAAACCATGTACATGTACATGTAACTTATGTTAGAGACAGTTGAAATGGGGCTATGTTGTAAATCAACATAATATTATTTTCACAAATTATTCATCTCACTGATTTCGCCGTTTGATACCAACCGGCTGAAGTAAATCGCAGGCCAAAGTTGGTCATAGAGGCACATGATGCAAGACTGAGACATGGCTGCACGTGAGAGCAACAGCTACCGATCGATTCCTTTTGAACACCCCAACCGGCCAGTTTTAATTCGAGACCCGCCAAAGTTTCTTACCAGCCAAAATTTGTGTTGATGTACAGTGGCTGTTTGATGCTGATTTAAAAATTTGTTCATGAGTTTTTTTACAAGGAAGTGCAAATTACTGTTGTCTTTGCTATGTTTTCCTCCAGCCTGGGTACAGGGTGTTCATTTCGACCCGCAAAGCCCCAGCGCTGCGGCCGTTACAGCAGCCAGCGGTCCTGTGTTGTTGCACCACCACACGGCAGCCACCATGGTCGCACAGCCACCACGCCAACACCACCCGCCGCATCAGCAGCAGCACCATGCTCATCCGCATGCACACCAACAGGGCATGGTCCTGGCAGCAAGTTCCCTGCAGCCGACCAGCCTGGGGGAGAGTTCGTCGGAACTGTCCCTGGGGACGGCCCTGCCCACTCCGCCCTCACTCACCAGCAATCCATCCCTGTCCCCAATCACTGTTCCGGGTTATCAAATGTCATCTGGGCACATGCCTTCGACCATCGTCACCCACAGTCCCACGGGACCAGCAAGGAGTTCACCGTATCAGAGTAATCGTGGCAGCACGTTTCACCTCCAGGCAGCCGACAGCGGAAATGTGTATGTCCCTGGTGCAGCCGGCGGCCAAACTATCCTCGCAGCCACGCACACCGCTAATCCCCACGTACCAACGCAAATCTCACCTCTCACGACTCCGCCATCCACCGCACCAACATTCTACACTTTCAACCATCCGACATCTCCGTACACCTCAGTGCAGCAGCAACAGCAGCAGCAGCAGTCTCAGCAGTAGCGGCCACGGTCCAGGCACAGCAACAGCGTTCTGGGAACAATGGCACAGTTAGCATTTGGAACACACTAGTTTGTCAATATCGCCAAGCACCACTCTTGATCCACGAACGAAGTCGGAACTCGAAACAATGGAGTTCAACAATGCAATGCAGTTCAAAACGTTTAGAATGAAAAGCAGCTATGCGCCTGCAGAAGACCACTGGCATAATTATACTGAATGCCTTGAATACGGAAAAGTCTTGTGGCTCTATAGTCGCTCGTGACGGGCGCATGCCGCGCTGTGTCCTCGCTCGTGCATGATGAGCGCAGGGAAAATCACTCCGAAACCTAGGCTGAAGCATTGTAGATCTACCGACTCGTGCTGCGTCACAAGTACGGCATGATTATTATGGATTGGATCCACAATTCCATGTTCAGTTCTGCTTCGACTTCCTGCACGGTCACCATGGTCACACAGCACTGAGTTCGTGGCAGACATGGCAACTCTCTCAGTGTGGCACGTACATGCGCTGATCTAGCCTCTGCACTGTACCAAGATTCTGCCTGGGAAGATCAGGTGAATGCTGCGCGAGATTGTGGAGTGTTAGTATTACCAGCACGTCATTCTCGTTGTCTTCGGATAAGTGGGACTGTTACAGCACTACCACTTAGCAACAGGAAAATGGGTTTTGTGTTCCTATGCTAGGGTTGTGCTGGATAGCCGCACTTACCAATAGGCAATACTGGCAATGCCCAGAGTAGCACACTGCGTGACACTCATGACTTGAGTCATGCGGCCAGTGCCAGTGGCCATAACGTTAGCGATAGATGTGCCATGTTGTCCTCACACCCAGCACAGCGCCCATACCCTTCAAGTAGTACTAGTAGTACTAGTAGTAGTTGAACACCAAGCAAGCCTTCTTCAATGGTACTAGTACTGATGACTTACACCTACACCACTACCAGTCTCTAGGCCACTGCACTGTATTTGCACATTGGTATGACATACACTGCACTGTACATGTATTTGCAGATTGTTATGATATACCCACTACGTAAGAAACGGCTCAGACCCATCAGCTCTATAAGTATGTCAGCAAAGGAACTCTACTGTTGTAATGACTATGTAAGATGTGTAACTATAATTATGTACATGTACATTGTACATGTATCACCGAGTGAAACACACCTTGATTTCGTTGTCACGTTATTTTTTGAACAACTACTTCCGCTTTGCACCAAATCCCGATTGCATGCTGCGCAATGTGGCCTGAGCGCCCCCAACAGTTTATACTGCCCGCGTCTCCTTCAAATTTCTATCACACTGCTCCGTGCGGGAAAGGCCAGGTGCTGAGGTGCTGTTCTGCTTTCAGTTCAAGTTGGCACGTAGAATCCACTATTCTCAGGGTGCTCGTGTATATCACTTGAACTGAAAAGACACATAATTATTTAGTTACAATAGAACACATCAGGTTTAGCCTATGTACATGTACGTCATGTACGTGTACCTGCTTCTATCAGTCATGGCGTTATGATGCTCAAATTCATGTAGGTGAAGCCTGGTACCTAAAACTGATCACGGACCTTTTCTTGCTCGGTATTTCAAATGATAAAAATTATTACGTTATCAAAATAATAACGATAACGGCTACACCGTGTGTATGATCCCAGCCAGACTCAGGGCAGGGTTGCCATAATGCCTTACAATGGATGTTAGTCATTTGTGTGAGCACACAGCTACATTGCATGATTTAGCACTGTCGTCAGTGATTTTTAAGGATGCACGCCGCTGATGGAAGGTTGGCTGCGTGCCCCACCCATAGCCATGTACACTCATAGCAAATTCTGCGTAGGAACGAAGTTATGTTTACAGTTTAATACATGTACATGTACATGCATTCAGCTGCGGTGCACATCAAGATGAACACAGGTGTGAGGAGACTTCGTTTGGTAAATGGAAATTACGGCAGGTGTTTAACATCCATTGACGGCATGAGCCATGTCTGCCAAGCAAAGTTGATCTCAAAAATGAAATACAAGTGAAGCAAATTCGAAAAAATGTGAACGAAAACGTACCTAGTTCTTTTCATTGTATGTTTAAATTATTCTGCCAGCAGAACCGAAGATGCACTAAAATTAGGCCTCACTGACATTTACATGCCATTGGTAGTTTACAATTAGGGATCAAGTTAACCATGTATGGTAAACGTTCATGGACAGTGAGCACAAACCTCCGGTAGCCATTTTAAGAAACATTGCAATAAGCGTTAAATACAGAGAAACTGAGACGGGCCAGGGCAATGTCTATGTTTATCACTAGTGCTAACTGTTGGAAGGCGATTCGATGAGGGCGTCCTGCTAGGAGAGGCCGTGATGACTACGACCATTAGCCCACCGGGTTCTCAATCTTACGTTCAGTATCGTTGGCTGGTGAGAAGGCATCACTGCCTGTTTGCTTGATGAAGTAAAATGAAGAATACCATACCATACCATTTGTGTGGGAGGCACTCCAACGTTTTCCGAGCCCTTATGGAAATGGTCCCGTGCTGGTCGAGGGAATCGTGGAGACGGGTGTGTAGACGAGCTGGTTGGTTGGGTAGGCAGTGTGTGCTAGAGTGACTTGCGGAGCAACCCGTACGGGCCATGGCATGTACGTACTGGCCTGCAGCGCCATGGGAACAGCCGTAGCACCTGGTGATGGTGTCTGCTGCAGAGGGTGAACATGAGCCTGCACAATGACTGGCATTCGTACGGAGAGTGCCACGGCAGCGGCGTTCGGATCACTGGGTGAGGTCGTGGAGTCTGCCTGATGCTGATGCTGATGCTGTTGCTGCTGCGCTGTTGGGAAGGTTGCAGCAGGAATTCCTCCACTGGAGGTGAGAGTGAATGGCGAGCGGAAGTTTCCTTGTGGTGACTCCATGCCATGATGGCGGGCGCTGGTGGTAGCTTGTGCCACTTGCAATGTTCGTGGAGGATTTCGAGGGACAGACGTGATCTGCTGGGCTTGTGTACTCCATTCACCAACTGCATCAAAAACAACACAGCGAAGATGGCCAGATATATGTTATGTCATTGAATAATCATACCCGTGGATTCCATGAGTCAGTCCAGGAAAAACGGAAAGATCCTGTGACATACAAGTCGAGAACTCCCTTTACCACTGGGAATTGAAATTGGAGACTTTTGATCATTGTTGTGTGCAAGAGAAGCCATGAATTCATCCAAAGTGTCAATTTAAAAACTTTCAAAGCGGCCATTCGTGGTAGATATGCACAGCTCTTAAGACCGAACTCAATGTTTAACACTATCAGGTACATGTACATGTGTGTGTGTGTGCGTGTGTGTGTGTGTGTGTGTGTGTGTGTGTGTGTGCGTGTGTGTTATGACTAAAAAAATTAATGTACTCAATGTAACTTGGAAATTACCTGTGGCTCTGGCTTGCGACGTCACTGTGGCAGTGTTAGACTGTCCCCAAACAGTGGCCTGGTGGTGCCTTGCAGGCAATGGGTTCAAGGAATGCTGCAGCGAGTGCTCAATGGCTCCAGGGCACTGGACGAGCTGGGGGTGCTGTTGTTGATGCAGATTTTGCTGCGTCTGCCCATGATGGGGATGGGGCTGCTGAGCGTGAAAGTGAGGTTGTGTCGTCAGGGAGCTGGCAACCATTGGAGTGGTGCTGGCTGTGGTTGTTAGATGATGCAGCGCATGTCCAGTTGGAGATGGCAGGGTAGTTGGTGACTGTCCGCTGAATGGTGTAGCAGTGTAGGCTGAGGCAGATTGGGGTGTGCTGTAATGGCTGTCCAGTGTGTGATCTGCTCGATCTCGATGCATGTTGTGATAGGGATGGGTGGAAGCCTCCAGCGTGTGGAAAGCTCCTGCAGCACGATTGGCTGCAGCATGACGGTAATACTGTTGCTGACGCATCGACTTGACCTTGCGACGACGAGCATTGATAAACCTGACCACATTCGATGTCATTCAAGAAGAACAGATTGAATTTAATATTATTGAACGAGCAATCGCAATTACCGTGAACAGGACAGAGATTGTTTCAATTCCAAGATCCTTTTCGTGTACATGTATAGCAGCTCATTCGATCCTTTATACTGTGCCTTTCGCCCATTAGAAGTGCACAGTAAACATATCCGACAACAACACAACAGCATTCAAGAAGCCCCAGAACTGAAGAGTTTCAATCCAGCGTAGAGGCACAACCATTAAGGCATAACTATATCACTCACCAGTAGTTGATTTGCTTCATAGTCAAGCCCGTTTGACTCATGAACTCCAGTTTCTTCTCCTCAAGCGGGTAGGGATGCTGCAAATACCACAAATTTATCACAGGAGAAAACGTAATCATTATTAACATGATAATCTGTCACATATCAAAGTTTCACATACCGATGTAAGTACATATTAATTCTTCCCTATAAGGAAGTATCTAATATTGAGGCGACAGAAGTTGTAATGCCAGCGGTCACCTTTGATCTAAAATAATTGGAATATATCAAACTATCCTTCACACAATTCAGACGCGGTTTGAGGAATTTAAACAAATGGCACAGTGTTGTGATCTGATCCTTCAAAAGACACGAGACGGCATCGGTTTGGGATAACCATGAGGCTCTAAGAAGAGGGTGCGAGAAACAGAAAAGGTCACCACTCGTAGGCACCATTCACCGCCACGTTCTTGGTAGACGCCTTCAACTTCAGTAGGTATGGTGTGGTCCTCATATCATCACAATGATAGCCCCTTTACATTGCCGAAAGAGTTCTGTTACTCCTCTCAGGGTCATCAACTCGATGACTTAATATTAGAGGAACTGTGGGAGAGAGAGAGAGAGCATGCTTTTAAATGATGGGTACTTACATCTATATTCTCCTCCAGCCACGTCTGCAGCACTTGTTTGCTGCTCTCCGGATGAAGATTGCGACGAAGTGCCGACATGCCCTCAGGAAACGCTGTGGCATCAGACGCCGACGCAGTAACACTGGACGATGGATGACATGACTGCGGACTGTTGCTGGCAGAGCGCACGGCCCTCTCCTCGTCACTGGTTGGGGGTGATGTTTCATCCATGGGAAGCATTCTGTGAAGAAGAGAAAGATATCCATATCGAAACAAAGATTACGTTAAGCGCACCCGTGAATTCAATCGGCTGGTAAGAATTGGTAAGGCAGTCAATTTCGACGAACGATATGTGCGTTACATCTATCAATAGGTATTCAGTTTCACGGAGTTTCCACTTTACCTGCAGCCCATGAAGACTGAAATATAACGGAATGACATTGCTATCAGAACTACGGCGAATAAATCAAGAGCGGGAAAAGCAGAGAGATTTTGACGACCGCCTTCACAAAGGAGTGTATTCTTCCACACTATCTAGCAGTAATGCAGCGTTGTACTCACTTTTAATCTCGCGTTGACCGCTTTTAGAGATCCAGGAACGGTTGTGTTCTGCGCAGCACCGGTCCAAGGATACTCAGTAGTCGAATACAGGAGTCTGGATCACGTGTGAAGCCTACCTGTCCCCTACTTAGACCGTACTCCAAAACTATACCGTAACAACTGGTAACACGGATATTGCATGTAACGCTCCAATACTTTATTGAAGGCTGAAGGCCTTCTGACTTCTCCGTTCTGGTCTTCGGATAAAGAATGAAAATCTTCTGCAGGTCGAAATCGTTTTATAGGCGATGGAGGTTTTCGGCATTCCTGCAACCATTGGGGAAAATTGTGTATTGGTGAAGTAATCAATCCGTGTACCACGCGCACAGTGTCTACACACACACACACAGACTGTCAGTCAACACTGCAGTGAAGTGAGTGACTCTCCGTGAACCAGTTCATCCTCACGGACCTCAGCCAGCATTCTGTCTGCAGACTCCAGTTTACTCCTGTACACTGCCCCGCACACGCACATACATGTGTACACACACACAGGTTACTGCGTCTATCTCTCAAGTCTGACCCTCATCCAGTCACTTGTTGACGGGTGAAGCCGTCTAGCACCGTCCCCGTGTACCCTGCCGCAGACACTCAGGCAAAGAACTGAGGCCCTCTCAAGCACTTCTGAAGTGGGCAATTCACCCGTACACTACACTACAGGCACATGGATTCGGGCAGCCTAGTATATTGCATTAGAATACAACATTACACTGCTGGGGCTAGGGCTAAAGATATCCCTGGCCGGCTAGCCATGTTCAGTACTCACAAGCCCAATGTTCCTATGACGATCCACCCGGTTTCAGAATGGCACGCGACAGCTGACTGTCGACTGAGGCTTTGCAGATGTGTGTCGCTTCTGGCAGATACTGGCAGATGGTGTGGACGGACAAAGTCTAGAGCTGAAGGGAAAGGCGTTCTTTACCTCTGCATGCACCTGAAGCTTGGCAAGAGTCTGCGCATTGTCGCTCATTTCCACAAGAGCTAGCCGGTAGAAGAGAGACATGGTCTGAAAGACCATCTTCTCTTATCTGCTAGGAAGTTCTGCTGGCGAAACTAGACGAGAACCTTCGAGACGAACACCTTTCGGTATCCTAGTCAATTCGGAAAACTTGGTGAACAGATTTAGCCTAAATTGAGGGTCCGACAATTCCTTGCCTAAAGTAAATAAGCCTTCCATCTTTCCAGCATATGCTGCTCAATATTGATATCTTCATGTCGGTATGTCCACCAAATTACGCATGGTTGCATGCAATTCCCATTAGCAGTGGCTGAAAGTGAACAGAATGTCAACCAGGATACCCCACCTTTCCACATCAGGAAACGTTCAGACAAGCGTCGCAGCTATTTCTTTATCTTATCATCAATTTCGACATCCAGGACATGTACATGTACATCCAGCCCGACCCGACTCTAAATCCTTTTCGCACTGTGTTGCTCATCACCAAAATATTGACTTTACCGTTTATTTAAAAAAGGAAGTACGGGTAGTTCGTTGATAAGTGAACCAGACTGTGGCACATGTACATCATACAAGCCTAGTTTCTGTTCTCCATGGTGAAGTTCAAACAGCTGTGACCCACACATACGTGCACATGTTCATACAATGTTAATTTGCATGAATTCAACAACGATCGATGAGTATTAATATCCAACTCTGATTGCATCTCAAGGCTGTGAAAGCATTTCGCATACATGTGCATCCCTCTTCCGGGTAGGTAAGGGATACAAATAATGCTGTAAGGTCAATCGCTTCAATATTCCAGTTCGAAGATAGGTCACGGACAGCACGGCAGGAGAGATTGTAATGGCTAAGAGGCTACACGTATATTCAGGGCCAGTGTACCTTTCAACGACCCTAGATGTTATTCAGAATGGTGAGGGGTATTGTTCGTTCAAATTCCCCATCGAGCCTGACACTTTCAAGTCCAAACTATTCGTCACGGCACGCGATGAATAAATGCCACTGAGCGAAAGAGGAGCTTTCAGTTTATGCACACGGACATGAATTGTGTCCTCTGAAGGCACGAGCCATGGTGTGTGTGTTTTACAATGATGTTCACACATATCAAGTGTGAGTGTGTATCGGACTTGTGCTGGTTTTGACAGCCTGCTTTAACACACACTAAATGCACACACCCTCTTTCTGTGCCAGTTCTAAACATGATGCGGCCTCTTCGCCTTGGGCTGCGAGAATTTAGCTGCTGATTGTTATAACTTATAATATTAAATGCATCTTAAACCTCTTTGGGCACAGGTGACCGGTTACTGTGTTGGGGCCTGAAGTCTGTGAAGTGGATTTGCTATATCTCACCTACAATAATGATACTCGTAATGTCAACACAACTGTACTGACAACAATGCCACACACACACACACACACAAACGTAAACACATACGCTCACACACTCGATATCCTGTACACCATGATGGTACACTGTGGGTCAAGACACGGCGTTTTTGCATAACACTGGCTCAGCCCCTTGCTTTTAGCCTGTCCTAGTAGGGATCCTATCCTAAAACGTGCATGGTCCTCTGGAAACAATTGAGGACCACAGAAGCTGTCACTTGGTCTGCTAAGTGCTTGGAGTGATGGAGTGATCAGGTCGCTCTAGGCGCTATCATTATCGAGTATAATCGTGAGTGATGGCAAAGTGTTTCCCTCCAAATTGATATTGTGAACCGACCCAGGACTCTGACTGTGCCCCAAGATACTATTGCATTCCATTTACAATGTACATGTACTGCTGTGTACAGTGAGGGACAGGCAGTGATGGTAATCATTGTGATCGAGTGTGAGTGCACAGTGGTATTGTTTGACCGTTGGCGCAGGGTGCAGAATCCTGCATTCCATGTTCTGCTCCACATTCTCGCAGAGATCACTCGGTATAATGCGTATGACAGTGCTCGCCTCTCCCTCACTTCAAGCCCATGTTTAAGAAGCATCAATCAGGCAGGACTCAAGAGAGATGGGTGCAGTAGGACTAGTGCGTGGACATGCATCACTATCATCACCACTATTCCGGGTTAATTCTGCAATGGAAGCGTCCATGAACTTCTTCCTGCATCTGCATATGAATTATCGTACTGAGTGCAGGGTGTACCATCGACAATCCGATGTCACCCCGTCCTCCCTTAGCTGTGCCGGTGGTCGTCACGGTATTTGCCTGTGATTGATTCTGTGAGTGTGTGTGTGTGTGTTTGTGTGTGAGGGACATTCTGCGATTATAATTGTTTTTGCTATGATCGACAAAAAGCGGCCTGACCGTTGACCTTATTGTGTTGTGTTTCAAAACGTCACATTCAAGAGAGAGAACATGGCCGTAGTATTAGTCTAGTAAAGCGAAGTACTAAAGCTGCAGAATGAGTGTGGTCTGTGTGAACAATGCAGCGGATGTGCTGATTGTTTGTATTGTCAACAAGTGATGTGCTATGACCGTATGCACCCTCCAGTCCTCGGTGACTTCCAAAATGTACAATGACTGGATCTGAGTTCACTTTTTTATTGGTCCGAGGTCCCTGTGATATGCCGTCTGAAAAGTACAGCCAGCCAGCCAAACAACTCAACTGTGTGTCCATGGTCAGTCTAAAGGGCGCCGAGCTGGGCCCCGGCTACCGAAAGGACCATGCAGTGCACATGTCTAGGTCAACCTTGTATCGTAGAAACACGCTTTTAGTTGGACAGCATTTTACAAGGTGGCAATGGACAGTCAACGTGAAGCCGCGGTGTTCCGACGTGGTGAAGGCCTACCCATGGCCGCGTCGGAACATTACCGACCTCTTCTACAGAGAACACCTTCAGCTCACGACAGTGTCATGGTGGTGACAGTAACTGTTGTCAGCTGACGAGCTGAGAGAGGGACGCCATGGGCAGAAGTTGACAAAAAGAAAGGAAACACATGTAGTACAACAAATAAAAGGAAGAAGATCAATTCAAAACAAACCCGACGTTACAACAGCAACAAGAAGACTTGAATAACTAACCCTACTAACTCCCTGGCGGATAATGCTCCGAAAAGTAGTATTTTCTGCGCGACATTCTGCTCGTATTCTGCCGGTATTCTGCCCCATTCTGCTCGTACTCTGCCGGATTCTCACGTGCTTGTGAACACAATGGAGCCGTAAATAGGCGCCAGCAGCCCTCTCCGCACTTCGTAGCTGGTTCTGCAGAGTATCTGCTCCTTCTTCTGCCGAATTCTACTCCTTTTCTAAAATAACCCATATTCTGCTCGAAATTCTGCCGGCATTATCCGCCAGGGCCTACGGGCCCTAGTATAATGACGGTCAGAACCGGGTCTAACACCCATACGTTTCAGATGGTCGCAAGATCGGGGCTCTACCAACCGTGGATCGTTGTAGTAAGGGACACTGTTTCCAAACACGGTGTTCCACCACCTTGTAATACATGTATGCTGTCCAACTAATGTACCATGATGTACATGGCTTTCATTGTTCCAGACTATCACATCACGTCAGTACGTCTACATGGACATGCCTTGCGGACGTTTGGCCCATAGGAAGTATGCCATGTACATGTACATGTACATGTACGAGTATCTGCTTGCGTGGGGGTGCCATGGAAAGACCTTAAGGTATTCCAACGTCTTTCCAGTATGCAGGTTATTGGTAAAAATGTAGATGTATGTTGGGGGGCAACGGGCAACTGGCAAAGACAGGTGAGATATCACACTGAGTCTGTTTCAGGCCAGGCAAAGGGCTAGGGTCAGTATGCATGAGATTAGTGTGTGTGCCCGGTGGGGGGGGGGGGGGGGATGTTTAAACACGCTGTTGTGCATGACTGAATCTCTGATTCTGCGTATGAACGACACGTAGTCATTGGTGAACAACCATGACCTGGTCCATGAGATCATTAAATTTTGACCAATCTGATCTGATGATCATGTACATGGATATTTGTGTGTCTGCTAGTGCTAGGTAGCATTCCACTCTCAGCGAGACGAATCGCTCCAGAGAGCAATTCTAGATTTTGAGTATGACACCAGGAGGGAAGTATGATATCAAATACATGATTGAGCACATTGTTTGATAATGATCATGCGCGTGCATGACTGATCACACGCCATGCATGTGCAGGACTCGTCCAACGTCTAGCCTATGACTGAGTATGGAGTCTGACTGGCACTCTACTACTCTAGCCTACTACTACATACGTCTGTAGTAGTGTAGACTGATGCAGACTTGTTCACCTGTGCAGTGGTAA